TTAATTAAAGAATAATTAATATCCTTAAAGAATTTCCACATTTTTGGTCTGTTCCCCTACTGCAAGAATCTACAAATGTTTACTATTGTCTTCGGTATCATAAAGGAAAAAATGTTATCGCAGTAAAAAGTTGTACATTCTTGCAGGTTAAGGAACAGGCCTTTTGTGAACGAAGATGAAAAGCAAAAAGGTTGTTTGATTTTGATAACATTTGTGAAAATGATGAAACGGATTTATTTCGTTTTTGGAATGCAATATTTGATTTGAAACGTGGTGATGGTTCATATGTTTTTCCTATAATAACTAAATATGTACGGAAGATAATGGTATTACCCCATTCCTCAGCCAATGTTTAGCGCGTTTTCAGCCAAGTAAATCTTAATATGTACAACGAAAATTCCAAATTCCCTCAATAAAGATTCAATGGAGGGTATTATTTGAAAGTTAACAAAGCAAATGGTTAAGATACATTAATTAAAACCGACATGTTGAAATGAATGATTTTATTAAAGTCCAAATGACTATTCAAATATTTATTTATAAAATAGATGAATTTCTTGATTAGCTTTAAGTACAAAGGTGTTCAATAAATTGAATAACTCATTTATGTTCCTTTTAATAAAAAAATATATTTAAACATATCTAAATGGGCGTATTTAAATTTTTACGATTTTATAAAATTTTTAGTTTTCATTTCATGTTCGAAAAAACAGAAATGTTCTAGAATTTGAAAGAGTTTCAATAAATAACGGTAAAAATGCATTCTTGTTGTGTTTGACATTTTTCCACTCGGTGTCGATACGATGTTTTCATTTCGGCTGACAACACGGGAATATTTGTATTCGATGAGAAACTATAATTTCGTCCAGTTCGGTAGATAAAGCACGTGGCAAGTTAAGCGAAAGCTTAACACAGAGCCATTTTGTAATTTTTTAATCCCGTAGGCGTAATTAACTCCTTAAAATGCGTCCTTTTTGCGAGCCGCCCGAAGACGAACTGAAGGTAATGATTTTAAAACCTTTTTTATCTCTTTAAAAACTGGAGGCAGTTCCTCCTCCCGCTAGTCCACTTTCTATTAGAATAGAAGGTATAAGACCATAAACCATATGTACGAGATAAACGAGATTTTCTTATATTACGTTTACATTTAACCGGATTTCGTTAACCCAGTGGGTTTCAATTGTCAATTCCTTTGCATATATGTCAAATAAATCCTCATAAAGTAGGTTAACCCGGTAAAAAGTTCTAATGTAAATGTCGTTTTATCAGCCTTATTCTGGATGTCAATTCCACGTGAATTTACTCACTCTTCCCCTTCGACTTATTCTGAACAACATTTTCCTGTGCATTTTCTCGCATTCTCGCTTTCGCCTTATTCTGAATGAAGTTCGAAAGCGAAAAAATCCGCTTTGGGGAAAAATTGGGTATTCTGGATTACAGGGAGTAGGAGAATGAGATGACATTTTGTGCGAAATTTTTCGCTAATAAATTCAAAGGGAGCTGACTACAAAAACATAAGTAATAAATATTTTTATGAAAAATATTTACACAATACTTATTATATGACGTTAGAATATTATAAATGATAGTAAGCAAATTTTTAACTGGAAAACAACAAATAAAATGACATTGGAAATCCTATGCATGCTGAACCAAATATTGCCAAGGAATGTATAACGGTAATAAGAAAAAAAAGATGAAAAAAAATTGAAAAATTATGGAAAAACTAAATTTGTCTGATGAGCCGCTTAACAGTGAAAAACTTAAATAAAAATTATGAAAGAACAAAAATAAAGCTATAAAATATATGTATATATATATAAAGGCACACAATTATGTAGTGAAATAATAAACTGTGAATTAATTAATTCAATCGCAGATTTCTTCCTATTATTCGTTGTGTTTTTGCCATCATAAAAAATGTTCTTTTAATTGTAATCCATTGTAGTTGTTGCACCAAATTGCATCACAACAATGAACAGCTGTTTCACATGCCATATTGTAGGTTACCATATTTTCAAACTTCAATTTATTTTCTTTTAATTACAAAGCATTTATACAGCGGATTCTTGATATTTCACATTTGTATTGCTATAAAGATTAAATAACAATAAAAAGTAACAATTTTTAATCATAAAATCAATAAATAAAATATTGAAAAATATTACACAATTAGATTACAATGGGGCAACATACATTGCAACTTAAATTACAATATGGCAATACACATTACAACTTCAATTATAATATGGCAACACGAATCTTTTTTTCAACCACCATTTTCGAAAACTCGAATCCGCATCTCGCATTTTTGCATCTCCCTATTCATTCAGGATAAGGCGAGAGTGTGAAAGCGAAAATTTTTTACATGCGAGATATCTCCCTAGCAAATATCCAGATTAACAGCCTGTTTTTGTAAATGTAAAATGTCCATTCGTTCGTCAAAAAAACGAACGATTACTCATTTTGGTTTTCGCAAACAAATTACCGGTTGTAGTGAGTGAGAAATAGGAAAGAGCTTTTGGTATTCGTATTTTTTTGGTTTTTGTTATACAAAACGGTGCGTTATTTACGAACAAAAATGTCAAAAACAAACGAAGAGAAAATACCATTCGTTTAAAAAATAATAATAAAGAAAACTATTTGTTCATTACAATTTGTGTGTTGTTAGTGAAAAGAACGTAACAAATATTGAAAATTCTGATGAAATATATAAGAAGAAATGGTTTGTAAAAAATTATATATCCCTATGAAATGTAAAAAATTATATTGAATTGTTTGAACCCCTAGCAACAAAAGGACAACGATTGCCCAATTCCAAAAATTGGTTGATTTCATGGAACTTTACCCACAATTAGCAACTGGCCGTCCTGTTTTCGGATCCAATAAATTTGAAGTGGATAACAAGTGGAATAATGTTGCTGTATCATTAAATGCCATAGGTATTCTCCTTTGGGGAATATTTTGCTTTTCTTTATAATTAAAATTAATTGCAATCGTACCAAACATTTTGAATTTTGGAAAATTTGCAACAAGATACCAAAAGAAACACTTTGGCACTAATGGTTAAAAACGAATGAAAAAGCTCAATCGTTTCTAGACGAAAGCTTTTACAATTATTACAAAAACCAAATTTTCGACGTATACGTTTTAATACGAACGATACGTCGAAAATTTGGTTATTGTAATAATTGTAAAAGCTTTCGTCTAGAAACGATTGAGCTTTTTCATTCGTTTTTAACCATTAGTGCCAAAGTGTTTCTTTTGGTATCTTGTTGCAAATTTTCCAATAGAATTATTGTAAAATGAGGGTAACTCTGTTTATTGTTTACAAACAGTTTTTTTTTACATAAAAAGTGTATCGTATCGTTCGTATTAAAACGTATACGTCGAAAATTTGGTTTTTGTAATAATTGTAAAAGCTTTCGTCTAGAAACGATTGAGCTTTTTCATTCGTTTTAACCATTAGTGCCAAAGTGTTTCTTTTGGTATCTTGTTGCAAATTTTCCAATAGAATTATTGCAAAATGAGGGTAACTCTGTTTATTGTTTACAAACAGTTTTTTTTTACATAAAAAGTGTCAAAATAGAAAATTCAAAATGTTTGGTACGATTGCAATTAATTTTAATTATAAAGAAAAGCAAAATATTCCCCAAAGGAGAATACCTATGGCATTTAATGATACAGCTACATTATTCCACTTGTTATCCACTTCAAATTTATTGGATCCGAAAACAGGACGGCCAGTTGCTAATTGTGGGTAAAGTTCCATGAGATCAACCAATTTTTGGAATTGGGCAATCGTTGTCCTTTTGTTGCTAGGGGTTCAAACAATTCAATATAATTTTTTACATTTCATAGGGATATATAATTTTTTACAAATCATTTCTTATATATTTCATCAGTATTTTCCATATTTGTTGCGTTCTTTTCACTAACAACACACAAATTGTAATGAACAAATTGTTTTCTTTATTATTTTTTTTAAACGAATGGTATTTTTTCTTCGTTTGTTTTTGACATTTTTGTTCGTAAATAACGCACCGTTTTGTATAACAAAAACCAAAAAAAATACGAATACCAAAAGCTCTTTCCTATTTCTCACTCACTACAACCGGTAATTTGTTTGCGAAAACCAAAATGAGTAATCGTTCGTTTTTTCGACGAACGAATGGATATTTTACATTTACAAAAACAGGCTGTAAGGCTGTATATTTTTCGTTTAGTTCGATAATAAAACACGTGGCAAGTTAAGCGAAAGCTTAACACAGCGCCATTTTGTACTTTTTTATGTACAAATCACGAGGGCGTGATTACCTCTATAGATGCGTCTTTATTGTGAGCCGTCCGAAGACGAACTAAATTTAAAACCTTATATCATGGTATAATAATAGAAGGTAACAGCAAGTGTTGTTGTACAACAAACGATACAAAAACCACATGGAAATTTGTTTTTGTAAGTTATACTAGTGTCAACGTCATTTGACAGAAAAATGTAAACAAACAAATTATATTTATTTGAAAATGAAATATTTTCGAATCCTCAAAATAAAATTTGAAAAACATGAATAAAAATCTATCAAATTTATATTTCTATCGCTTCCACATCTTTTCTATAATTGAACTATTGCCACTTATATGTATAACACATATGAAAATGCAGGGAATTGCGAGTTATTCAACGAAGAAAGATTTGCTTCCTCAAACTTTCCCAGCAGGCAGATTGAGTAAATTGAATACGGGAGCATATTTAATAAAGGGCAATTTCAAGTTGTATGCGTTCCCAATTTTCCTATTGGGTAATTTTTAAAAACATTATTTGTCAAATTCATATTGAAAATTCCGTTGTCCGATATCTATAATTAACATATCGATAACACATCCCCATCAATTGCATGTCATCATTTCACAGTAAACACTCCAAGTGGAAGAAGAAGAAGCTGTTGTTTACATTCTTTTTTCCATACAAAACGTACTAAACGTCTTTAATTTTATTCTCCCTTCCAAAGCAGAATGGCATCCACACTGGAACAGTACATCAATCACACAGTGTCCATAATAACGGCAGATGGTCGTAACTTTATTGGTACATTGAAGGGATTTGATCAAACCATCAACATCATACTGGACGAATCACATGAGCGGGTCTTCTCAACAACATCCGGCATAGAACAAATCGTCTTGGGTTTGCACATCATACGAGGTGACAACATTGCCGTAATTGGACAGATAGATGAAACAATTGATTCACGCTTGGATTTTGCCAATATTCGAGGAGAACCATTGGGTCCAGTTGTCCATTGATATGTTAATAGAAACATACCTATTATGATTCTTTGCCTACTAGTCTAGTTGATAAACATGAAATAAAATAATACACATTACGTTTAAGTAAAACAATGGTGGCTTTTTATTTTTCTCCTCCTCACCCTCTTCCCTCACTCATTACAATCAAAAGAAACTTCATGACACTCTAGGTTTTCCAAATTTACCACAGCTATACTTTGGGTCTTGGCAAATCTCGGTACACAAACCAAACGTGTTTTCTGACCCTGTGTACCCTCGTAGAGTTGTGTGGAGAACTCATCACAATTGCCAACAAAATAGACATGGGGACATTCTTTAATTACGAAAGGATCACAATCTAAATAGGGATAACATGCCAATGTGTCGGGTGCTGTGGGTGCCAAATGGCCCCATTTCAGTGTACAACGCAGCGCATCCAATGGTTTTTCCAGACCAGTATTCCTTAACATATCATTTACGTTTTGTCCAGCCGTACCCATAACCAAGGCATCATCCACGGAGCAGACGTAGGGGTTTGGAACACTTTGGAAATTCTCATGTTTGGCGGCTCGGGGAAACATGCAGCTGTGAAATGGTTGTTGAGGCATCATAAAATTTGCCGGGTCATATTGACCGGGCATAACATCAATATTTAAGGAGCTAGACCAGGCAGCAAACCATTCATCCAACGCCTGCATGGCATCGACAACATCTTTGGATTCATTAGGGCGAGCTTGTAATGAGGGCAGGCGTTTCTCTTCAGAACTTTTCACCGAATTGCCAGCAATTATAACACGCATCTTTTTCGATTCTCCTGCCTTGAGGATACTACCCCTCAACCAATATTGAAATAGATTGAGGGAATCAACGAAATTGTGTGAATTAACTTGATCCAAACCGGATAATAAAATTAGCAATCGATCTTCTCCCTTCTTTGGCAGGGGTCTCTGTATACCACCTTCATAGAAGAGAATTTCCTGAACATCAAAGCGTCCATCTTCTTCAATTAAACCCATTACAGCACACACAATGCCCGTGGCCATTTCTTCGCTACGTACCTTGCCATGCAGACGCACCCGTTGCAGTTCATCTTCCAATATCACCTTATCCTCAGGATCGGAATAATGTTGCCTGGCCGGTTGTGGTGCCAATTGATTCTCCTCGGATATCTCCTTGAGGATGCTCGGTTTGTGTTCTTGATGTTTGTAAATTGTACCAATTAGAATGCATTCCTCCTCATTCTCTTCACGTAAATCGC